ATCAATATTATAAAATATGGACGTTTTTAATAGTTTGTACATTGTATCATCAATATTATGAAATATGGATGTTTTTAATAGTTTGTACATTGTATCATCAATATTATGAAATATGGATGTTTTTAATAGTTTGTACATTGTATCATGAATTTTAATTGTAAATACGTGTAGTTTCAAAAATATAATATTAAGGGCAGAATTTTTATCTAGATTTCATATTTGTAGTCATGTACATTTTACTGTAAATATGTAATCGTATACCAAGAATTTGTACAGATGAAAATATTGTTCTAAGGGTTTTCTTAAAAATACATTATGTAAGATTTAGATAAAGAGCTGGCCGCTCTGGTTATAATAATAATAATAATAACAGATTTATATAGCGCAAGATTTCATTAAAGTTTCTAATGCGCTTCCAATTATCTAACACTATGAAAGAACTAAATGTTGAATAGGAGTGTTTTCAACTCGCGTTTGAATTGGTCAACAGATTTAACCATTCGTAATCCTTTGGGAAGATTATTCCATAGGTTGGGGGCTGAGAATAAGAAAGCTCGTTTTCCTAGTTCTAATTTCACAGACGGAGTTTTACAGTTTATATTCTGATGATGACCTCAAGGTTCTGGTGTTGTTCTCACATCGTTTTAACAGCTGTTTTAAATATAATGGTGATTTGTCATTCAAGGCTTTATGAGTTTGCAGCAAGATTTTGAACGCAATTGTTTTTTTGACGGGCAGCCAGTGTAGGGAACGGAGTACTGGGGTGATATGATCAAATTTCTTGTTTTAGTTAAAAGTCGTGCTGCAGAGTTTTGAATGTTTTGTAGTTTTCTAACTTGATAGTCGAGAAGTCCATAGAGCAGAGCGTTGTGGTAGTCTAGTTTTGTTGTGACGAAGGCATGAATGAGATTTTCGGTTATTTCTGGAGTGAGATATTTCTGTATTCGGGAGATCTGTTTAAGGTGGTAAAAGGATGATGAACATATTGACTGTATATGACACTTGAATGATAGACTAGGGTCAATGGTAGCTCCAATATTCTTTGCTTTTAATGTAGGGATAATTGTTTCTTCTTGAAAATGAATATTTATTTCAGCAAATTTGGATAGTTGCTGTTTTGTACCAAGAATCAAAAGTTCAGTTTTGTCAGGATTCAATTTTAGAGAGTGTCTTGTCATGTATTTCAGCAATACAGAGCTCTGTATCTTTAACTGTCTGTTTGCTAGAATTGGTATTAAAGCACAAATATAACTCTGTGTCATCAGCAAACAAATGTATGGATAATCCATTTTCTCTGGTATTTTTGTTAATGGTTTAGTAAATACTAGAAGAATTCCCGGCTTCGCTCGGGGGTCATAACCCCAAAACCGAAAGTGGTAGACTAACGCCACCTGGTCTATGTTACTCCCCAGTCCGAGCTACCCCTATACCCCAAATTTCAGACTCGGGGCAGACCTAGTGTAGCCGCCAACCCCGAACAGACAGACAGACAAACGACAGTCACAAATATTAGTATAGATATGATAAATAATATGGGTCCTAAGATTGAGCCTTGTGGCACACCACATAAAAGAGAAAGTTCACATGACTTGCTGCCCTTGACATCTACAGTGACACTACCATTAGTTAGATAGCTTTTGAACACTGTAATACCATAGCGCGAAGACCAATCTCTTGCTGAAAAGCATTAAGTAGGTCCTCACTATCTAACGTGTCGAATGCTGCACTTAGGTCAAGTAGAAGAAGGATTACACACTGTTGGCTGTCTAATAGATCAAAATAAATCATGAAAAATGAATATCTTCAAAATATCATTCAAATTACTTTATTCTGAGCAAAGTTGTGAGTGTTGATAACGGTACTGGACAAACGAGACTAAGTCTCTGTCCTCTGATTGTCTAGAGAGTTGATTATAAGCTTGTCATGTTAATAAATGTCGAAATAATAATTTATATAACATTTAAAGTTTAAAAAAATACCTTCAGAATGTATCTTCGTTGATTATATTAAATATCTGGGAAGTCATTAAGAGTATGTGTTTCTTTAATGGAGCAGGTTCTCTAAATATATGATTAATTATATTTAATCATTTAATGTCCTGGTGGTAGATCTAGGAAGTTAGTTAAAGCTGAATTCCGATTACAAAACTACCGAAATAATTAAATTTAATTAAATTTAAAAAAAGGTAACGCTCTAAACGACCACCAGACTTGTTTTCAATTTGCAGAAGAAACATGACGATCGCTTAGAGGTAACAAAAAAACACGCAGGCCACACCCACTTCCAGTAATTGCTGTGTCAAGCAAACTGTCCACATCCCCTTAGCTAATCAACAACCATTTACACCCTGTCTGATCGAAGTTCTTTCACTATCATTACTATCAGCTAACTAAAAATATTATTGCTACACAATTATTATGTCTGATCAGGTACAAATTATTTTACTAATTAGATGAAATAAGCCAACCACCATGTATTTTTGCTCTAAAAAAATAAGAGAAAAACTGTCTTACCCCAAACAATAATAAATCTACCAACAAACACCAACCAATTTTTTTTTTTTATTTTGTGAAATGTTTTTCACAATGTAGAAACACCAAATAATTATCAGCATCATAAAGTCTAGTATTATCATTCCAAAATATATCTAAAGCAGCAATACAACTATTGTTTCCTCCATGTTGTTGACATAAACTCAAGGGACATAATGTCCATGAAAAAAATATCGACATCCAAAGAGTGACCTTTCTTGATTATTTTGAAGTGAGAATATACCTGGATACATTTTGAATACTAGGCTTTATGACGCAGAAAATTATTTGGCGTTTCTATGTTGTTGTCAAAAATATTACACGAAATAAGAAGAATTGAATGGTGTTGGCATAGTTATTGCTTGGGGTAAGACAGTTTTTCTCGTATTTTTGAAGATTTGACCGATTGTAGTTGGAGGTGGAGGTTTTGATTTTTCTGGATGATGTTTAACATATTTATTTTAAAAAATGTCTTCCTTTTTATGTTATTTACGATATTTTATTGCTTAATAAATCTCAATCTGATTAAAATACAGATCTATATTTCGTTTTGTCTGTTTATACTTTCGATGGCCTACACTACATGTACATGAAGATCTGACAAGTTGTACTGGAAGGTCGTGTCAGGGGTCATATACGAGCTGCTTTTGACCCTGTGATGTCAGACATTGATTAATCAATCATCAGCGTTGACATTTTTAGTCGTTTACCCACAGTTCCGTGCCAAGAAGATGCCATAACAGACCGTTTCATTGGCTAATCTCTCAGTTCCATCAAAACGCCAGTAATATAACAACTCTTCCAGATCCTAGTGTAGTAAAGACAAGTAAAACAAAATTTTGAACTACAAAAAACGAAACGAAATAGGATCTGTGTTTTAATAAGATTGAATAAATCTCAATAAATACTGTTATAAACTCCTGAGTGTTCAAAACGAGTTTGCAAGGGTAAATGAATAGCATCCACGCAAGTAGCTATAAAAAATAAAATGCATGGCTGAAAGAACACAAGCTTTATTTAATGTTTTTTGTGCCTCCTTCATGTAAATATTCTTAATTTAAATAAAATATTTTAATTAATATATTGAAAATTAAAACTGTAATAAACAACAACATTTTTAGCAAGTCTTCATGGCTATATAGATCTGTGTTTGAACCAGCTCATCAAATTTTGTTTGACAATTTGGCACTGTACCCGTATATTTATGCTAAAAAAATCTAATAATATTATTTGACTACAAAGTGTCAAGAGAATAGGCTACCCTGGGGGTATTCCCAACTTTTTATGCATGTTTATTGACATTTAAAAAGTGCTAAACTGAAATTATTGACATATTATACAATATTGCGATAAAGTGATTACATCGCGATATTTTTTTAAAATATCGCGATATCTCTTTCCAAGGATATCACCCTGCTCTAAGTCTTGATTTAATTTGACCAGTAAGTTTGTATTTGCAATGTCGAAGACTGTGGATGATATTGAGTTAGAGACTTGCCTCCTTTAATGGAAGTTTCCAGAACTTACAATTGTTGAATTTTGTTGAACACGAACATGATCGCGAGAGGAGTCCCATACAAAATTACCTGTTTATGAATATAGAATCGTTGTTTACAACAGATCTGACAAGAATACGCAGAAATACTTTCACTAACTTTTGTCTTTCAAATTCCAAAATTAGATGCGACAATTGATTGAATTGGCAGGCTATCTGTCATTTATCAATATCATTATGCAATTCAAGGGTGGTAACTAATACATAAGGGTTGTCAATCATTTGATGTGAAATGTATGTGTAAATAATTGTATGCAATTTATAATTGATTGGAGTATCTTTGTCTATCTTAAAACAAAAAAACAACAAAATTATTAGATACCTACCAATCATTTCATCAAAATCTTCAAAATTATTGCATTTTGTTCTATTTTCGTTTTATTTGGGTTTTCCCACGAGAGTTATCTATCCTGACGTCTAGTCATGTTTAGCCAGTAACTAAAAATAGCAATCTGTTTCACGGACCTAGTACGAAAGCTTTCTAATAACTCTGTATAAGATCAACATGTGACGTCAGATCACGAGGCGTCAATCATTGGCTCTATGGCGCGTGTTTGTAAACAATCTGGTCCGGGCAGGATATGGTGCCTTTTACACTAAATAGGAAACATATTTTTATCTAGCTGCAAACACTTTTATTTATTTTTCTAATGGAATGCTTCAAAAAAATGTCCTAGAATTTAATTTGAAAAAGGAAAAAAGTTAACATCGCGAGCTCATTAAGCCGCACCGATGTCATCCAAAAACATACTAATGTCTATGATGTCATCCCTATCAGTATTCAGTGATTGTAACGGCTTGGCGAATATTCGCTAGTATTGACTCTATTCGCTAATAAAGAAAGACTGGTAAACCACGCGCTTATGAGATATTGTCTATTTTTAGAACTCAGCAGGTGGATTGTGGGAATCTATGTATTGTTTTCAATTTCTTTCCAGGAAGAAATTTGTAGGTCATCAGTGCTGTTGTAAAATTGAGGTTCTGTGGTATTCATTGCGAATTGTGTGAGCTGAAAGGCTAAAAAACTGTGTATTTTGATAGAAAGGATCTGATACGTATAAAATTATTCATTGTCTTTGTTTCCATTAATAGTTATTGAAGAGACAAAAAATTTTGACAGCTGATAAATTGCAAATGGCGGTTGTTTATTTCCGCTATACAGAAATGAGAAATTTGTTGTTAAAAAATTCACCCACTGTCGCTTCACATGGTAAATCATCGTACAGACTTTTGTTTAATCACCCTAAAAGTATTTTAAGAAACTGTTCGCCGCATTTTTCATGTATTTATTGAAAGAATCATAGCCAATTTACGGTTATAATCGCTGTCAAAATTCGGTTGAACGAACGCCTGTCAAATCGAAGCCACAACAAACAAAGCCGACCAGTCGTGATAATTAGTGTTTACACAAGTGATTAGACAATCGACCAAAACACAAATAGGCCTTTGAAAGAAGTATATTTAAAAAGCCGAATTCTGAATTTAATTATTTGTCAGTAGTGACCGACAGAAAAGTTGCAAAGTTTTAAAAAAAAAGAGGAAAAATTGGAAAATACTGTTGATTAGAATTTGCAGATAAATATAAAGTCAAAAAGAAGGAGTTAAAGAGACCTTTAGCAGACGTATACAAACTCAAGATGAAGTTGTTAGAAAATTCTAAATTTGAGGCCGTGAATTCCTCTCTGTGCATGGAGATGGAGAACTGCAGAATTGATGGAAGGTTTGTATGAATAGACAGTCCTTCACATTCATAAAAAGCTCTTGCCCTTTCTCTCTGTCTCTTCCCCTGATACATGTGATGTAGTATAGTTTGCCCTTCTTCATTATCCATTAGCTTGGATGGTGTAGAACAGTAGGATTTCTTATTACCGTCCTTAATGTATCAAGTTCTTATATTCTGGGGAGGTTGGGTGGTCGAATGGTTAACAAATGCATGTCAAATCACAAGGCCTGTCATTGAGCCAATTGGCATGGTTTCTATACCCCGCTTGTATGTGACAAGGAGTAGGGTCACCTGTTTCTCTCTCTCCCTCTTATATTCTGTTCTAGGTTTGACGAATACATGTGTTATTAATTTTTCTTTTTTTTTTTAGAATTGAGAGTTATTCATGCAAAATGGCTGGAAATGACAAAAGATTGTTTAAGTTGCTAAGTAACGAAAACAGTCAGAATTCTGGAGGCTTACAAGCTCTTTCACCACCACAAAGTACAGTTTCTCACAGTCCATTAAAGTAAGTTGACAGTTTCTCACAGTCCATTAAAGTAAGTTGACAGTCTCCCACTGCCCATTAAAGTAAGTTTACAATATATACAGTCTCTCACAGTCCATTAAAGTAAGTTGACAGTCTGTGACAGTCCATTAAAGTAAGTTGACAGTCTGTGACAGTCCATTAAAGTAAGTTGACAGTCTGTGACAGTCCATTAAAGTAAGTTGACAGTCTGTGACAGTCCATTAAAGTAAGTTTACAGTCTCTCACATTCCATTAAGGTAAGTTAACAATCTCTAACTGTCCATTAAAGTAAGTTGACAGTCTCTCACAGTCAATTAAAGTAAGTAGACAGTCTCTCGCAGTCCATTAAAGTAAGTAGACAGTCTCTCACACTCCATTAAAGTAAGTTTACAGTCTCTCCACAATCCATTAAAGTAAATTTCTAACAGTCCACAGAGAACAGTCAATAACATTAGGTTTATAATCCTGTAAAGAATGAAGTAGTTTTGTAGAGAAAATAATCTTTGAATGGCATTTAGCGATTGAACATAATATAACACAACACAGTTCTATGGATAACAATCACTTTATTATATACACACAATGTTTCGACAAGAATTCACTTGTCGTTATCAAGCATACAAATTACAAATGAGGAAAAAATTGTGACAGTGGTAAGTACATTGAACAATAATAAGAGAAACCATAAGATAACAATCATGAAACCATAGTTTAAAGTAGCTAAGTCTCTAACTCAATATCATCAAAAATCTTCGACATTGAAAACACGAATTATTTGTCAATTCAAATCAACATTGGTCTTGTGATCTTACAGGGAAAAGATGGGCTTCTGATATCCAATATTTCAAGACAAAATAAACATTTTATCATTGGTACACGAATCGTGTACCATAATGTGTTTCAGCTAGACATATTCCACAAGTCATGTCAAATGGTAACACTATATTCTTATCTGGAGAGCATGCGCAATAAATACCATTGGTGTAGACTGGAAAAACCAGACGCTAAAGATTGCCATTCACATGAGATTTCTGGCATATTTCGCCGAACATAACTGATTAGAAATTACAGTAAAAACAGAAACGATTGAATGTAAATCAGTTTATATACATTCATATTACATTATTATATGCGTTGCGACCCATTTTTGTCAATTTCTAGGTCCCAAATATTAGCTCCTTTTAATATTGTAGAGAATAGCATGTATCTAAAAGAATACTACATGGTGATATTTGTTTTTTTGTTTTAGTTTACGGGGGTATAGTAAGAGTTATGATGGTTCGAGTGAAGGATATTTATGTGATACAATATCAACGAAAACACTGTTCTATCTTATATCTACACTTAATGCTTCCTTTCAACCTGATTACGATTTCAGTCATGCAAAAAGTGACGAATTCAGCCGAGAGCCAAGTCTTCAGGTGAGTAAACTGAATAGTAACGTTATAATTTACACTTGGGCCATTGGTTTGTACGAAGAACATCGACCACCAAGATCTTGGCTCTAAATTTCGAGATCAGAAAAATAACCATATAGCTTTCCCTATCATTAATCAAAATAAAACACTTTTGTGAAAGTAGAATACCGGTACAAGTTCAAAAGTAGTTAAATTCTTTTCATTATTTCCAAAGATTTGATGAATTGCAAATTCGATATCTACTGTAGAATATATCTATACCAATATTTGTTACTGTCGTTTAGTTGTCTGTCTGTGTCTGTTCAGGGTTGTCAGCGTGGGGTAGCTCGGGCCCGAGAGTAACAAAGGCCTGGTGACGATGGCCTACTTACCACTACCAGAGTTATGCTAATTCGGTCCATGGCTTTACCCGTGCAACGCCGGCCGGGTCAACCGCTAACCGCTATAATCAACACATGATGAGCCTCTTTTTAGTACAATTGATTTCATTCCTTGAGATTTTTGTTGATGAGTGGAGTTTATCGTGGATTATGCCTTCAAAAATTAAATTTCAGATAAATACAAAAGTGGATCAGCTATAATCAACACATGATGAGCCTCTTTTTAGTACAATTGAATTCATTCCTTGAGATTTTTGTTGATGAGTGGAGTTTATCGTGGATTATGCCTTCAAAAATTAAATTTCAGATAAATACAAAAGTGGATCAGCGACTTTATTTTGACCAAGATTAAAGTTTCTTTACTTGTTCTCAAATATGATTCATTGTCTATCTTTGTTCTATTGTTTCATTTGATATAAGAGTAGGCCATAGTGCTGCTGTCCGAGTAAAATTTCCCTCATAGCAGCACACTGTATGGCATATGCCTGTCTTCATTTGTCCAGTCGGAGTAGGACGTTAAACCCCATTTTATTTCAATTCATTTTCATTTCATTTACGATATTTATATATATAATATATATATATAGTTAATAGATATTAGTAAAACCAAAAGAATATAAACAAGCCAACAGTGAGGCTGATGTCCCCTGCCGAAATCCCAAAATAATTGATCTCGATATGATTCATTTTCTATGTTTGTTCTATTGTTTTATTTTATTGCCTTAATGTTGTGGATGTATGGTTGATTGCCTGTCAACCTACCTTTTCTTGTTTCCTGGCAACCTATCTTTGTATTGTTTCCTGGCAACCTATCTTTGTATTGTTTCAGTGGGTGACTAATGCAGTTGATACCCAGTTGTTTGCCACTGCAGGAGATGTCTTCGGGGCCTTTAAGCAACAATTCTGGACAGCTTTAGATGAAGAAATTTGTCTTTCAGAATGTGATATTTATAGGTGGGTATTTGAAGAGATGTGCGGGGGGGGGGGGGGGATCGTCTAGCATATGATCTTCAGATCATGGGTTTTCTCCAGGTCCTCTGATTTCCTCCTACTGCTATAGACTGCTACATGCAAACAAATTATTTAAATAAAACTGCATCATATGTTAGTCCCAAAATAACCTACATTGTGTTGAGTAGATGTTAAACCCAAATTAAAGGGGCATTACGGGAGATTAGATAAAGAGTTGACAGTTCTCGCTATAATAGTTAAAAAGTAGATAACGTAAATAGAATATTCTGAAAATTTCAGTCAAATTGCTCCACTCTACACCAAAAGATTTTAGCTTTTGAATTTTAGGCCAGCCAAAATCATTACTAAAATTGGTATGATAAAAAACAAAGTCTTGAGTACATGTATCTATCTTTACGTTTAATTATTTTTCAAAAAATGTATTCCAATCGGCTAAAAGGCTAATGATGGCATTGAGAGTTAATAATGTTCTGGATAAGTTAATTAATGTCTAATTAATAATTTAGAAAACATTTCAGGCCTAAAGAAAGACCTGCAATAGGCTGATTTAGCCCTTGCATAATGCATGTTTAAATAACAGTGAAATAAGTTACAAAATACAAACAAGTGTCTTGAGTCTTGACATATAAAACTTGTATATTCACATTATCTTGATGGTACATGTATCACATCCTCAACTTGAAGGGCATAAGGTACATGTACAGGTGTGAAATTGTTCAAATTAGCCATGATTATATAATAAGATGTAATATTATGTGATATGAAGTGGATACAATGTAGATAAAGATTAAACAATAGAGGGATTATCTACAAGTGTAATAACAGTGTAATATTAAGATAAAAAGGGTTGATTATCTACAAGTGTAATAACAGTGTAATATTAAGATAAAAAGGGTTGATTAAGACAGTGAATTCTATAGAAGGATAATCCTGTATGTTAAATGATGGTAATATTATGTACTGTTTATATATTAGTACACTGTAAAATATATATTGTGAGAAAAATAATTCTTGTTTTTGAATACAGCTGCTTTACATGAAAAGGGACATATTTTTCTGTTTATATTTCAAAATTAGTTATTGCTGGTAAATAAAGTTAAGTTTAGTTTATCGTACAGTAAATTTTGAATATTCAACATCATGAATAAACTGGTGAGGTGAGAAATGTAAATCTTTTGACAAAGATATCCCCCCCCCCAACCCCGAATCTCCATCTTGCATCAGATTTCATGAATTTAAATATCTCATGTATCTGAATATGAAGGCAGTGATAGACTTTAGACATAGTACTTAGCCTTAATGTTATCTATGGAGGATTCAGTCTGATTAAAACACAGATCCTATTTCGTTTTGTTTTTTATAGTTCAAAATTTTGTTTTACTTGTCTGTACTACACTAGCACTCGGAAGAATTGTTATATAACAAGCGTTCTAATTGATGAAACGGTCTGTTACGGAGAATTCTTGGCGTGCTCTGCGCGGAACTGTGGGTAAACCCCTAGAAACGTCAGTAGCCGCTCGTATGACCCTCGAAGCGATTTCCCAGTACTACTGGTCAGATCTTCATGTAGTGTAGGCCATTGAAAGTGAAAGATTTTCCATGTTACAAAGAACTTGTTGTTTTAGTAAACGAATAAAAATTAAATTGTGTATTAACCATTAATGATATGGTTTGTATTTTTAGTTACAATCCTGATTTGAACTCTGACCCCTATGGTGAAGAAGGTTGTATTTGGTCGTTTAATTATTTCTTCTATAACCGAAAACTCAAGAGAATCGTCTTCTTTACGTGTAGAGCGTAAGTTTTATATTTTATAACTTTACTTGTGCATCTTTCAGACATTTTTATTTTGTACAGCTTCCTCAGAATTTCAGGCGTGGTGTCTCTTTGTCCAGTGGTGCTGGACGGATAGACCGTGCCCTCCAGTTTCATCCCGTTACTAAAGACCCCTACAAGCAAGCAAATTATTGAAATAAAATTGAACCATATTTTAGTCCCGAAATGACCTAGTTTTTGTTGAGTGTAAGTTAAACCCCATTTCTCTCTCTCTCTCTCTCTCATATTCCTAGTATTTGCACATATGACCATAGAACCAAAAATGATCATATGTTAGTCCCAAAATGACCAAATTATTGTGTTAACTAAACGTTAAACCCCATTCCATTTGTTTACAGAGCATCAGTATCATTTGTTGATTCTGGTATTGGAACAGATATGAGTATGGATATGGATGAAGACAGTCTACATATGTAAGTAATAAAAAAAAACAGGAAATCATTGTTTACATGGTATATTTGCTAATTAACTGCAATATGTACTGCCCTTGATGAAAGTTAATTACTGCAATAGTTACTTCCCTTGATTAATGTTATTGCCCTTGATTAATGTGAATTACTGCTATAGTTACTTCCCTTGATTAATGTTAATTACTGCAGTATTTACTGCCGTTGATTAATGTTAATTACTGCTATAGTTACTGCCCTTGATTAATGTTAATTACTGCTGTAGTTAATGCCCTTGATTAATGTGGATTACTGCAATAGTTATTTCCCTTGATTAATCTTAATTTCTGTGTTGAGTGGACATTAAACCCCATTTCGCAATAATGATACTTGAACAACTAATCAGGAATATTTTTCGATAATTTCAGGGATCTGTAATCTGATGTAAACATCCCAACTTCGTTAGCATCATCTACCTGTTTATAGTAACCGTAGTTACCAGACAAATGATCAACCTGTATATAAATACACCTGTTCTTCTATTCATATGCTTCAGCTTTTAGACAAAACATATAGATTGACTTAACACAGCCTCGTCATCAAAAAAAATCATTTGATTAAGGATCTGATATCAACTTTGTTCCAAGTAGAACTGGCCTTAGGACTGCTTTAATTAGGGCTGGTCCTATAATATCAAGGATCTGACATGAAGTTGTCATAGTAAATTGGCCTAATAAGGGCTTATCAAGAAACGGATATTATCGAGTGTCAAGTTTGCTCCAAACATTCATGCAGAAGTAATCCATTTTAGTAGACCGCATTTTTGGGGTCAAATATGGGTTGTTAAATCTGGTATTATCAAGTTTTCTCCGAAGCATCCATAACTCCTACACAATCCGGTTTAGATTGCGTCTATTGTGACTTAGACAGCAACAAAATATGCTGTGAAGGACTGACATATAACCAAATGATATTTTCTGTCCAAATCAAAAAGAAATCTGTCCAGTTTCATCGTCATGGAGATGAATAATTCTGTAATTAACTACAAATATTACTAAGGTGTTATATGTTCAATAGAACTCAAGTGACGTCAAAGACTGTAGTTGTTCGCTTGATACATCCCATTATATTGTTACGATGTTCAATGGAGGTCAAGTTGAGACCGTGGTTGTTGCTATGATACTTCCCAATGATGATCAATGGAGGTCAAGTGGAGATCGTGGTTGTTGCTATATTTCCCAATGATGATCAATGGAGGTCAAGTGGAGACCGTGATTTGTTGCTATGATACAGACGCATGGTTTATATACGCGCTTGTTATGAATAAGGTTAATATTTTCTGAACAATGTTGTTAGAATGTTCGATGGAACTCGGGTGGAGATCGTGGACGTAGCTAGCATACCGATACATGGTATGCATACCGTAAACATTTTGTGAACATTGTTTAATTTGTCAAGTCATGAAACAAATGGAGCTGAACCCCAGATGCACTGACGGTCCATGATGAGGATACATGTATGTATATGAGCGAATGCTAGATCAGAGACGTTCTAGCATATATGTGGGGTTGTGGGCCCAAGATGTGAATAACTCGCCATATTGTAGGGTTGTGTACTTGTTCTCTAGGGTCTCACAGGAAGTCACTGGCATCAAAGGGCCTGAGATATTGTAGCTTGCCATATGCTAGTTCTCGGGGGGGGGGGGGGGTGGAGGTGTGTCAAAGCAAGTCACTGAAATCAAAGGGCCAGAGATGGGAATAGCTCTCCATATTGTAGCTTGTCATATGCTAGTTCTTGGGGGGGGGGGGGGGTCACAGCAAGTCACTGGAATCAAAGGGCCCGAGATGGGAATAGCTCCCCATATTGTAGCTTGTCATATGCTTGTTCTCTTGGGGGCCACGGCAAGTCACTGGAATCAAAGGGTCCCGAGATGGGAGTAGCTCTTCATAATGTAGGGTTGTATTCTAGTTCTTGGTGCACCTCAGCTAATCACTGGACCCTAAGGGTTATTAAGGAGCAGTAGTTTTGGTCGGTCCAAGAGCTGAAGGGTCAACTTCCTCAATCTCATCGATATAATATAGAATTAGCCCAGAAATTTTAAACAAATAAGATTATCTCTACAGTACAACTTCAGTCCCATTAACTGGCCTGCATAAAACAAACCACACCATGTTGTCCCTTGTTTTTTTTAAAAAAAAAAAAAAAAATGTATTCCTTTATATATCATTCAGTATTATTCCATATTGTATTTCTGTTTGATTATTTTATTCTTATTTTTTTTTCTAATCACCGTATATCATGTTTATATTCAGAGCAGACATCAAATTATTTTACATTTTATCATGATATCATTCACATATAGATTCCCATACTCATGCATATCGATTTAATACAATTGTGAATTTTTCAGATTAATTATCAATTTGATTAAAATACAGATCTATATTTCGTTTGGTTTTTTTTTTTATACTTTCGATGGCCTACACTACATGAACATCTGACCAGTTGTACTGGGAGGTTGTGTCACGGGTTCGCACGCGCGGTTTTTAACCCTATGACGTCAGACATTGATTAAACAATCAGCGTTGATGTTTCTAAGGGTTTAACCACAGTTCCGTGCAGAGCACGCCAGGAACTCGCTATAACAGACCTTTCATTCGCTGTTATATAACAACTCTTCCAGATCCTAGTATAATCAAGACAACCAAAAACGAAATTTTGAACTATAAAGAACGAAACGAAATAGGATCAGTGTTTTAATCAGATTGAATAATTATTTGAGTATTTTCTCCCAGAGATATCATTGTTAATCTGGATTGTTTGTTTTAAGTGATGTTAAAAATGTAAAATATTTGCTAGAAATTGGCATGGACATAAAAGAAGCCTTGACACTTGGAATTAGATATAATAATAAGAGTAGGCCATAGTGCCGCTGCCTGGGCAAAATATCCCCGATAGCACACTGTAAGGCGTATGCCCTTCTTCATTAGCCCAGTCGGTGCAGAACAGTTTGACGTTAAACCGATTTGATTTCAGTTCCGTTGGCTAGGAAAGTCATCAGTATACATGTATTATTAAATATAATTAGTAATATAAATAAAATCAAACATGGTCATAAATAGTGCTGAATTGTAAGTATTTGTATTAAAGAATATACAGTGTATATATCATCCTAGGTATCCCCAGTGGTCTGATTCCGTTCTACTCCACTATACCCTGGGATAATCCATAGGCTTTTCACAATTTCAAATTATCTGCTTTGGCCTTGATCGTAGCTTAAGTCTGCAATCCAATCAAAAAACAGTTTACAGACCAATCCTACTAAGACTCTTTAGCCTCTTTGTTTCTGTTCACAACAATATGGCGACTTCTTGCATCACGATGAGAGTTACTTCCCTTTGCCAGAGTAGGGTCGCCTGTCCAACCTCGTGGGATTTCTCTGGGTGCTCCGGTTTCCTCCCACTGCTAAAGACCCCTACGCGCAAGCGAATTAATGAAATAAAATTAAACTATTTGTTGGTCCCGAAATGACCTAGTTTGTGTCGCATGGACGTTAAACCCCATTTCTCTCTCTCTCTCTCCCTTTGCCAACTTCCTTTGCAATTAACGATTTATAGGATTGGTTGATTAAAATAGCACAATCATCAAGGGCAGATAACTTGGAATGTGTGTCCCCCACCCCTACCCCATAGGTTAGTGGAGAGGAAAGGAATGAGACCACTGTAGATACCGAGGATGTGTGTATTAATTGGTACATTTAGAGATTGATGACAGTCGCAGGACTTCAATGCTTGCGTTCAAACAAATAACCTGGGTATAGATCTCCACCCATCTACCTGTCCACGATGATGGAGTAAGAAAACGTTGAAATATTTCCATTAATGATTCAGCATTCATCACATGTCAATCCACCCACCCACCCAGTTCCACAGGTTTTGCGTTTGTACCCAACTGTTGGAATTTTGGGATGGCACTTTACATAGAAATAATGTCATTTATCATTTTCCTTTTGTTAAGACATCATCTTTCCATATTTTATTATAAATTTGATATGTTATTGTTTTATTATATCATTCATCTGTGTAAATATTTTGTTAGTTTCACTACACAGAAACCAAAATAATCTTTTTTTTCTAGTTTAGAGCCTGAAATTCAAATTGCATCTAAGATGAGAATTATCCTAGGTCCAAAATTCTATCTTGAGTAAATATTAAGCACTTATTAAGACTATGGGAAGTTTTGATATTTTAGCACACATGAAAATAATGTGTCAAGCCTTAAGCTTTTCTTAGTCATGATTTGGTCGATATATTTTAAAACGGACAGTTAGAAAATGAAAATAAGTAAAGGCTGTAGTGTCGCTGTCTGGGCAAAATTCCCCATACAGTACACTGCATGTCATTAGCCTGGCTGATGTGTGAAATTACCGGGGATTGAATTTGGAACCGCATAACAAACCAATGGTTGATACTAGAAAGCTAGAGTAAAAACATTATTTTGTGATCATGTGATCATTATTTTGTGGTCATGTGATTATTATTTTGTGGTCATGTGATTATTATTATTTTGTGGTCATGTGATTATTATTATTTTGTGGTCATGTGACTATTGTACGATTATGTTGTAGCTTATTATGAATATTTACTTTTATTATTTCATAAATCTTTTAAAATTTGTCTTGTGTGTAGGTTATTATCACAACAATATATAGTTAGGGGTTTGTTGGGTGCTCGTAATATATAGGATGTGGGGGGAGGGGCAGGGGGTGAATGGTGAGGGTGGGGATAGGGGCAATAATCAAGATGCTCTGTAATATACAGGATGGGGGGGGGAGGGGGTGAATGGTGTAACACATACACTTTAAATCATAAGGTCTGTCATTGAGTCCACTGACGTGGTTTCGGTTCCCTCTTTGCACATGACAAGGAGTAGGGGCGCCTGTCTCAACCTCGTGGCTTTTTTCCCGGACCTCCAGCTTCCTTCAACTGCTAAAGACCCCTACCGCTCATGCATATTTTTAAACTCAAATTGAACCATATGTTAGTCTCGAAATGACCTAGTTTCTCTCGAAACCTTCATTTCTCCATCTAATTAAATTATAACACTTTCAATCTTGGATCCACAGGAGTTGCAGTGGTTCACTGAGAGAGACGTTGGCTAGCTAATTTTGAGGTCCCGTGCTCCCCCCCCCCCCCCGGTATTGGCTGAAAAGAGTTGTCGGGATTCCCAGGTCTGGTTTTAACCTTGTCGGTGGTGCAGCGCAGAGACTCTAAAAAAAATGCCAATGATGTAGGCCCATCTTCATTAGATGGTAGGGGGGTTGGATGGCTGAATAGTTAGCATGTGCGCACTGTGTCATTGAGTCAACTGGCATGGTTTCGAATCTCCGGTTGTATGTAACAAGGAGTAGGGTCGCCTGTCCAAGCTCATGGGATTTCTCTTGGTACTCCGGTTTCCTCCCACTGCTAAACACCCCTACGTGCAATCGAATTATAGAAAAAAATTGAACCCTATGTTAGTCCCAAAATGACCTAGTTTGTTTTGAGTGGACGTTAAACCCCATCTCTCTCTCTCATTAGTTGGTGCAGAAAAGTAGGACGTCAAATTTCATGTCATTCCAACATATAATGCATATAATTTCAGTGGCTTTGGCTTAAAATGCTTGTTACCAAAGGAAACCCAGTTTTCCATAAATATATTTTGAAAGTTAAATAATACAAAAAAAAAAAAACGAAATAAAACAAAAGATTCAGTTCTGTGGATCAACCTCAAGTCAGTGAGTAACTTGGGCGATCATGTTTGATCCGACTCCCTTTTCTATTTCCATCACTTTTACACCGAAAAACTAGCGGTTAGCTGTCCGTACTGTGTCCACATGGAACTTCCTACTTCCTATTAGGGTTAGGGTTAGGGTCAAGTGTTTAAGATTAAAACCTATAACACAAAAATGGGAGTCACATCAAACATGATTGCCGTAACTTGTTTTACTTGAAAATCTAAAGAGAAGAAAATACATTACGCACGAGACAGACGCTCCATGTCTTATTGGGTTTATTATTTCGTTACATTCCGTATGGTTAACGATTTGTTCACATCTAGATTTGTTTCTGTTTTGACCCAAAGGAAAGCCCATACAACCCCAGCCCCGTTCTCACGTCTTGTATGTAAAGGTATTAGTTTGTCTGGTGTCGTTTCTACACAGATTAATCAAAAGACGTGAACTGCGACGGGATTTCCGAGACCATTTGAAGTTTGGCAAGAGTTGCGCCCCCTTAGTTACAATTCGTGCTCATCGGTCATTCTCTGATAATGTGCGCGCGTGTGTGTGTGTGTGTGTGTGTGTGTGGGGGGGGGGGGTGGATGGCACGTGCGTGCTGTATCATAAGGCCTGTCATTGAGTCAACAGGCGTGGTTTCGAATCCCCGGTTGTACGTGACAAGGAGTAGGGTCGCCTGTCCAACCTCGTGGGTTTTCTCCGGGTCCCCCGGTTTCCTCCCACTGCTAAAGACCCCTACGCGCAAGCGAATTATTGAAATAAAAAACTAAACCATGTTAGTCCCGAAATGACCTAGTTTGTGTCGAGTGGACGTTAAACCCATCTCTCTCTCTCTCTCTCTCTCTCTCTCTGAGTGGACGTTAAACTGTCCCCACCCCTCTCTCTCTCGCTTTTATCGAATTGAATATAACCGTGTACTGAATTTCTTAGGACCAACGCTTCAAAGTTTGTTTCATTTCCACTGTGGAATTCTATTCAATTTCTGAAATCCGTGTCCGAGGTATCGATCGCCCCATTAGCAGTAATCAGTCGCGAGTTTCGTGCATTTGGTGGGGTATGTTTACACCTTTTCTAGAACACCTCGTACCACGTCATTTCAGGGGGTCATATAGCGGAGACATTTTGAGGAGGTCATATAGCCGAGACATAGTATCAATTCTGTAATAATCAGTATTATTCAGCAATTATTTTATTTCCCTCATCATAGAAAACTGCGCATGAAGTATTCCCGTCTTCATTAGTCCGACTAGAGCCGAGTCAGTGGGACGTAAAACTCCATTAATTTCATGCATTCATTCCTTGGAGTCACGGTGGGTAAGCCGCTGGCTCGCTAGTCTGGGGATCGCGTGTTCGATCCCTGCATTGGCCGAGAAAGTTGTAGGACGGAAGGACAACGAAAAACCAAGCTCTCGTGTATACATTTGCGTGCACGTAAAAGATCCCTTGGCAGTTGGAATTCGATATAAGAGTAGGCCGTAGCGCCGCTGCCCGGGCAAAATTTCCCTCATAGCACACTGTATGGCGTATGTCCGCCTTCATTAGCCCAGGTTAGGAGCAGAAAAGTAGGACATTAAACCCCATTTCATTTCATTTCATTTCATTTCCTTGGAGTCACGGTGGGCAAGCCGCTGGCTGGCTAGTCTGGGGATTGCGTGTTCGATCCCTGCATTGGCTGAGAAAGTTGCAGGACCGAGGTCTCGTGTATACATTTGCGTGCACGTAAAAGATCCCTTGGCCGTTGGAATTCGATATAAGAGTGGGTCATAGTGCCGCTGCCAGGCAAAAGTTTCCTCATAGCTCACTGTATGGCGTATGCCCGTCTTCATTAGCCCAGTCGGATCAAACCTCATTTCATTTTATTTTTCATTCAATCCTTATCAGGCACAATTTTTATTTACGTCCCAACAACCGGGCCCCGATCCCCAACTATCGATTCGGATAAAGTTTTATTAATAAACACATTTTTTACCGTTTTATGATGTTTTTTTATTATTAAAATGTATATTATTATATACAGACTGACGTCATACATTGAGTATATGAAGTGTGTATTTAACTAAAACAATACAAACAGGCACTAATAATAGTGATTATTACAAATACACAATACAGCACGTGTATTACATACATTAGTGATAAATAACCATTGTAAACATTGTATATCATGCTTGCTAGTTCAATGTAAACATTTGATATCATGCATGCATGCTTGTAGACATTTTTTTTAAACCAACGTGGATGTTTTCGGAAATACTCATCCGATCATTCTTAACGACATACAATGCACAAGCAACGAAAAGGCCGATGGGTGTCGTACATGAGGCAGGATATACATATCTTTTAGACCACCTGGTACCACGTATCATTAAACACATTTCTTCCGTGCGTTTGTGTTGTACCTAATGACAGGTGTTGTACATGAGGCAGGATATACATGTCCTTTAGAACATCTGATACCACTTCTCTTGTACCTAATGACAGCTGTTGTACACGAGGCAGGATATAAATACATATCTTTTAGAACACGCAATACCACTTCTCTTGTACCTAATGAGAATTTCATACGTTTACATTGAAACCATTTAAACACTAATTTGTGACGTAACACTATGCATTAATAAAACTAAATATATATATGTATGTAAGTATATATAGAGTTGGCACGTGATTCCCGGTCGCCGCTCATACACAGTCACGTGCAAAACGATTTGAGGTAAATACATTTTAATGTTATATATAAGTAAAATTATATATTTTTTTAATATTGAACAAGGCAAAAAATAAAAGTCAACTACATAATAATTAATGAGCATTTTGTGTCATCGAGCATTTCATAATGCGAAAAAAAATATCGTAACAAAACGAATTGTTAAAACAAAATATGTATTGTATTGTAAATAAAAAAACTCCAATCTGATTAAAACACAGATTCTATTGAAAAAAGCCCCAACAATTACTAAATGAATGATTAAAATATTGTATCAAAACGTTTTTGTCCTTTGCATGCACAACGCTCATGCTGCCGATCGCCATTTCCGCGAACTGGGATGAAAATATAATTTTGGCGATAAAATATTCAATGTTTGGCGATAACTTTTTCCTGTATGTCGATTCTTTTTTACCCGTGGCCATAATTTTTTTCTTGCCACAAAGCTTTGACCCAAAGTTAAAGATCTTACAATAAATCCATTTTGAACAATCGATTGCAAGGCACATCACATTCATTGCGTAGACTTTTAATGAATTTTATTTTTGTTTTGTTTTGGAAAGATGGTGAACATGCTATGTTGTACAATGTGTACGCTGCCATAGAAACAAGAAAGATGTAATCATGACGTATGAAATAAACGCAAGATGAGTATCGGTGAGTAATAGAACCATGGTGATTAACTAACGTAACCATGACAACTAATAAACGTTACCATGACGACTGACTAGATGTACGCATATTTAAAAATCAACACTTAGGAATACATTAATAACAATATATTTACAAAAAGATAAAAAAAAAAAGATACCAAACGCAGGTCCCATAAAATTATTGTTCATAAAATACCATGATAATTAAGATCGCTGATTATTAACTTTACCCAAAAATCGATTAACTGTAAACATTGAAAATTCTATAGTTTTAAGGATTTTTAACCGTAAATGACAAATTTTATATATTTTATCTAAGTATTAATTAATTGTCCTACAGTTTTATTATAAACATTCTAATTTATTCCTTCGGTTTTTCTTTTTCTTCTTCGTTTATTTTTGTTTCGGGAATTTTCGCCTCGACAATTTCAGGCGTTTCCTCGACCTCTGCAACCTTTTCACCGTTTATTTCAACTTTGACCTCATCAAGTTCTTGATCAGCTTCCTGTGGGGGGTGAGGTTTGCTTCTTAACAGGCATTTTTTAGCCTGCGCGACGGTGGCTCCAGCAGAGAAAACGAACTCGTACAAAACACCAGCCACAACCCCACCAATTAATGGCCCGATCCAGAAAACCTGAAAATATAATGAACACACTATTTTAATGATTTTACAGATTAGAAAATTCGATTTCAAAAATAACAATTTAAATTCGAACTTGCAAAGCTTCCGAAAGGGCTAAATCTATTTGTTAAGGCCAGCTCAATTTTTGTCAAGGTCGCTGAGATGTAAATAAGGTTTGGGCACGTGATTATTGGCGAGTTGTAGGTTAGGTTTAAGGTAAGCATTGGGGCTAGGTCCAGGGTTAGGGCTAGGGTTGGGATCAGCTCTAGCTCTGTTTACATCTCGTGACCTATGACGAAAAATTGATGCAAACAGTAGAGATAAAACCAAGTTGCCAGGGATACGGCTGTTTCCGGTAAGGACAGAGAGCAAACTGGCCCGGCCCATGGAATAGAAAATGCGTGGATGGACGGGACCATATATTAGCAAAGTTTGTCATAGATAGATACGTCACCACCTGGGCAACACCTCGACCATACTGCACCCAGCGATCCATCTACGTCATACTGCGAGAATATATGATCTCAGGCGGAGCTGGCTGTAGACAGGGATGCACCTCGATTGGAGTAACCAGAGATCTCGTCTGGATTAAATAAAGAACTCGATTTTCTGGTGTAGCCTAACGGGAATGAACCCAGATCAGACTAAATTAATTTTAGCTTATCTTATTAACCCCATCTGTTATCTCAAGCCTCACAGGTGCTGACAACATCTTAATATCAATTAACTACAGATAAAACTTCAGATAAAATAAATATCTAATTTTTTAAAATATCGTTTGATGTGAAAATCTAATTAATGTGGTTAGCGAATTCTTGGCCTATCATAAAACAACATTCCACATGCTCTGGTGGAATTCGGTACTTTCTTATATGGAATTATCCCTTGGTGATCATTTTAATATTCAAAATATTCAAAGGACCACAAGTAAATAGAAAGAAAATTCTGATCCCGTCTATCATAAAGATAGGTTGCCAGGCAACGAAACATACGCCCACAGCAGCTAAGGCGTCCAGACAGTCAACAAAAGTTGTCGCATATTTTTTCTATTGTCGGTAATGACACATTTATAATACACTAAAATCTGATTAAGAGTAAGAACTCATTAAGTATTTATCAGAAAATCATTAGAATTTGTTTGGTTTTTAGTTCTGCCCCATGCTAAGGTTTAGTATACAAAACATTTAATATCATGGATTTATAATTAGCTCTCCAAGTCATAAAAAATCTCATGACCTTAAACGCTGTGTATAAATTTAAAGTCAATCGGATATTAACTTTAGCCTCTAGACGGACGGACGGACAGACAGACGGGGGGGGACGACAATATACGACCGCATTTCAATGTGGGCGTATAAAAAGAAACTTGACATGGTACAATGTGTAGGATCATCAAGTCTTTTTTGAAGTGCATCACGAGGTCAGTGACGTCATAAATCTATTCTGGGTCTTTATTCGCAAAAAACTAAAACTAAAATATTTTTGGAATTCTGCCCTTCCAGTGGCTAAAAGCTATATTTTGTAATAAGATTTCAACTCCCCTCAATGAAATGGAAAGTTAATGTCGAAAAAGACCATTTGGCCACTTTAAGGTGAAAAAGGGCAAGCTGGTCAGGATTAACAAAGTCCAGTTTATCCAGATTACTGAATACAAGGTCTGGTAACCATGATAAATATACCACACAGCACGTGCCGTAAACCACAAATTCCTGTCTTGTATTTACACAAGAATAAACCGATACTTGTCTCAATTAAATGATCTTTAATATTGTCTAAACTTTGTTCCCGTAGGCGTGGTTAATGGGTCGCGGGGGTGGGGTTAATAGGTAGGCCTATGGGGAGGAGTGAGGTGGGGTTAAGAAATGAAATGAAATAAAATGGGGTTTAACGTTCTACTGTTCTGCTCCTAACCTGGGCTAATGAAGACGGGCATACGCCATACAGTGTGCTATGAGGGAAATTTTGCCCGGGCAGCGGCGCTATGGCCTACTCTTATATCGAATTCCAACTGCCAAGGGATCTTTTACGTGCACGCCAATGTGTACACGAGACCTCGGTTTTTCGTCCCATCCTTGTCAGGCCCTCCATCCTGCATCACTGACAAGGGAAAATCACGCCGGAAAATCTGAATGAACTTTCTCGGCCAATGCAGGGATCGAACACTGATCTATTTTCATTTTGAAGGTAATAATACGGAATACAAAACGGTGGGAGCGCACCATAAATTTTGTTGTTTTTTTTATCTTGAAATTGGAGTTAAAAGGTCGCCTCATTTGAACTTAATTGAACATAGACAATTTGTTTATCTAAAATCGCACCGGAATCCCCCGTTTATACAACAAAGAGCGAGTGCATCTTTTATTTCGTTCCGGAAAATCGCACTGAGACTTTATAGTTTATTTAATCCTTGTCTTCGATTTCATTCCTCGAACGTCTCGGTCAGCATAAATCTGTTGTTAATAGGAGGTAGCGTCGCTTCAAATTACATGACATGTTGATGGATGAAATCAAGCTTAGACACATGCACATTGTTTCAAATTAAAAGATAAACTCGTGTCTGTAGTTTCAGTACTTCAAACCACTAAATTAATACCCTTCTTCTTATTAAGAACAGTAGCAATTCCCCTGCTAACAAAGTGACGCTGGAATGACGTTATCGCACGTTGAGATCTTGCAGACGTGACAAAGATGGCCATCTGGCCCATGAAACATAAACAGCTAGCAGACAGAGTTCCTCATAATCACCGACTGTTTACATTTCAATCTTAATATTCACCTTTAGGGTTTACTTTAGATTCGAGCATATTAAAGGCGTTACCTTGACGACGATTTAAAGATAGACACTTCAGAAAGTGTTCCAGGTTTTTTTTCTTTCTTTTCTTTTACAAGATATATTTGCACAAACATTTTTAAAAGAAATGTATATCTAAAGTACAAGAATTGTTTTTTTTGTTAGCAACCTCCACATAAAAAGAAACAGAAAACAGTTAGCCAGTCTTATGGTATTGAAGGAAAGAGATAAACATATTTGCTGTTATTTCTATTTAAATGAAATTGCAGATAGGGAGAACTGGGGTTTCACACAAACTAGGTCATTTCGGGACTAACGTGTGATTCAGATTTATTTCAATAATTAGCTTGCGCGTAGGGGTTTTTAGCAGTGGGAGGAAACCGGAGAACCCGGAGAAAACCCCCGAGGTTGGACAGGCGATCATACTCCTTGTCACGTACAACCGGGGAATCGAAACCACACCAGTTGACTCAATGTCAGACCTTATGATAGAACGCGCACATGCTAATCATTCGCCCCCCCCCTTATTATATGAAATGAAATGGGGTTAAACGTCCTACTTTTCAGCCCCGACCGGGATAATGAAGTCGTGCATACGCCACATTTCCAGAGACTTCATCAAATTGAAACGTAAATGCTTGCTCGCCATTGTTCATACAGCTTAGCATGTTTTGATTAATGTGTGTAGGTTTTTATCAAACCATGCTTGACATTTGAAGACCACCAACAGAAAACTCAATTTGAAGCTTTTGAAATTAATTTCACCCAGCCTACAGAATTCAACAGCGAACGTTAAACAAAGCTTTCCTTGTTCGCTGTTCATTAGGTCATTAATCTGAACATTTTTGCCATACATGGCATTCCATAAATTATAGTTGTGCACGAGCTAGATCTAAATATTAGGGCCACCTGCAGATTTCGTCAAGGTCACGAGATGTAAACAGGGCTAGCGCTAATCCTAACCCAATACCTAGCCCCAACCCACAATACTCGGTAGCAATCACGTGCCTTAACCATGTGTGCAGCCCGTGACCTTGATGAGAGAGAGAGAGAGAGGGGTGGGAGAGAGAGAGAGGCATGCGAACCTATTCCTTGTCACACAAACCACCTAGACATTGCAAGAAATAAACAACAACTATCAAATATATGGTCAGTTGTGGGATTCCGGTGAGAATCGCAGAAGAAAAGGCAGAATCGGCGCTGTCCGGACAAAATCATCTCCTCGCATTGCACACGTAACGTAACCATGGAAATGAGAAGTATTATATATGTTAGTCTCAAAATGATCGACGCATTGTGTTGACGAGACGTTAAACCCCATTCCATTGCAAAAATCAAGAAGGTTGTTTCATGTAAAGCAGATAATATTGTTTATACAGAAACAGTAATAAATTATTCATGATACGCGAAGAAAATGTTGCTATATCAGCAGAGTGCATTAATTCAACTCTGATATTAATCAACAAAATGGCGGCGGTTAATTGCCGCAATTTTCTCGTTTTTAAGCTGACCTGTGAAATAGGACCGCGAGTTGTTGTACTTCACTTCCGACCTTTAGTGATTACAGAAGTAATTAACTCCCCTTTGATTGTGTAATTAATTACTTCAGCTCGTGTCGGGTTACCTAGTCTGTTACAACTTCAAACAGAAAGACACACTTTCAAATTTAACATAATAACCGACATAAACCAAATCCCCACGAATGCGTCGATTATCTGGATTATAATATACTGTAATATGAAGCCGCAAAAAGGACAAAATTTGGTCCGTAACTACAGAAATACATATGCGTACGGGCTCGATGATGTTAAGGGGGAAGAACCCGAAATGTCTGAAAAAATTTCGGGTTACAGACGGCGGCACCGATAGTCTGCGAGAGGCGACTGACCCCCCAAAAAGCCAAAACATATAGAACTACATTCCTCCAAATTATATAATTATTTTGTAACTTTATTTGGGGTCTCCATATATGTTTATATTTATCGAGTTAGCATCTATTAAAGGGACAATAACACACTTGCTGGGTTGACAGCTCCAGAAAATAAAAAATAGCCTTATTCTAAGTACTAGATGTGTTAGTGTCCTACCTGTTGTGTAAATTATCCATTAAATCCTATTTTACTTGTCCAGAGGGTTCAAAAATATTTTTAAATCCAAGTCACATTTGAAAAGCTTTACGTCAGGCTTTTCAAATCATTTAGTTGAATTTTTCTAATTTTTTAAATTAGGTGTGTTAAGATGAAATTTGTATCATCAATTAATTGGAATATTGTAAAATAGTACAATTTGTTGACCCGAATAAAGATTGGGACATATTATTCAGTTACAGCAAGAGTGGTATTGAGCCTTTAAGCGATAAACCAATATGAAAATATAACGGAATATATTTATCCGAATTATGATTATAAAATATATTATCACGGTGGTAATATCACCACCCAACATCTTTAAAACCCATTAAACCACATATTTTATCTACTAGATATATTTTTAAAAGATGATGATGTCATTTATTCCCCGCCCTATATCTCTAGTCTGATCTATAACTGTATCGTGTATCGGTTGTAAGATATCCTACAGACCCCCTCCTCGGGTTTTGAAATGAATCCAGTAATATTAACTAGAAATGTTTCGGTTCTTTGATAACGTTGCATGGTCTGGTTGAGAAATCTTTATTTTACACATACTCAGCTTTATACTAAAGAGGTAACCTAAAATATGTAATTCTTACGCCCCACCCGAACAACTAAGTACACTTTCCTATTCAGTCCCCACAGGTGCCACCTCTGACAAGCGTGAATCGGGTTTGGTCTCCCCCCACCCCCTTTCGCCCTCCTCTTCTTGGCTCGTGGGACATTCTATAGTCGTGCAGGTCTAACTACATAAGTTCAACAAAAAATGGACTGGCTTGTACGGAAACGATAGCAGAGTTACAGTATATTCAACATTTCGGGACTAACATATGGTTCAATTTTATTTCAATAATTCGCTTGCGCGTTGGGATCTTTAGCAGTGGGAGAAATCCGGAGGGCACGCTGAAAACTGACGAGGTTGTACAGGCGTCCCTACTCCTTGTCACGTACAAGCGGGGAATCGAAACCACGCCACTTGACTCCATGGGCATCCAACCCCCCGTTTTGGTTAAAGAGTACTTCACACTGAGTAGTATATTGTATTAACAATATATTTGACATTTACTCTAGCGTACTGAATCTTTAAAAGAAATATTTAATATCCCCAGTACTGAGAGAACAAAAAAACCCGAATATTTCAAGAAGCCTGTTTCGATGGTATGTTCTGACAAAACATTTTTACAGTCGAATTCCTTGAATTCACAAAGCATATGTTTTTAATATGAAGAAATTTATGTTTTGCAATGGTTATAACAGATTCCATGGTAACATAGAAACTTATCATTGAATAGAGCCAGGGACAGGTATTCAGGGGTCAAGGGTGAAGATAGGGGTGGGGTATAAAATAAATGACGGGGGGGGGGGGGGTAGTTATAAACAGTTTCAGCGCAAACTTCGTTTACAGAGAGATATTTTTTCTTCTTTTATTTTTAATGTTCGACCAAATCCAATCTGGTTAAAACACAGATCCTATTTCGTTTCGTTTTTTATAGTTTAAAATTTCGTTTTACTTGTCTTTTCTACACTATGATCTGGAAGAGTTGTTATATTCCCGGCGGTTTGGTTGATTTGAGGGATTAGCCAATGGAGCGGTCTGTTACGGCGACTTCTTAGCGTGCTATGCACGGAACTGTGGGTAAACCACTAAAAACGTCAAAGCGGATTGATTAATCAATGTCTGACGTCATATGGCCATTAGCCGCTCGTACGACCTCTGACACGACCTTCGAATACAACTTTTCAGATCTTCATGCATGTAGTGGAAAGTATAAAAAAAAATCGAAACGAAATATAGATCTGTATTTTAATCAGACTGGACTAAATCTGTTTGTAAAAGATTGAACAAGCAAGATGGCATCATTCCACTATAGCCCTGTGGAATTATGATTCTAATACCAAAACAGACAATTTCCAGAAACATTTTCTGGAACTGTGTTCCAAACCGAAATTATATAATTACCAATTTAAAATAAACCAAACTAAAAATAGACTTACCCAATGATTTTGCCAGATTCCCATAACGAGAGAAGGACCGAAACTTCTAGCAGGATTCAGACCACATCGTGTGTAGGGAAACTGAAAGTAGGAAAATGAAAACATATTCACTATAAAAATACAACACAATTTATTAGAAGAGAAGTGTTATCGACTGTTATAAGAATGAAATGAAATAGGGTTTAACGTCCTCTTCACCAACCACCTGCTCTTCTTCGAATTCCAATTCTTTATTTTTTTTTATGTACGTCAGATAACAACCTTATATGAAGAATTTAAGACGGTATGACTGCCTTCTTTATATTAAAAGAAACATGTCCTCCATAGAGCGAGATCATTAATTTAAATCTCAGCATGGCTTTTTAAAAATATATTCTAAACTCTGGATTTACAAAAAGAACAGTAACAACTTGTACTAAAAAATATAAAAAAAATAAAGATAATATTTTACTCTTTAATCTGGTGTTTATTATTTTTTCTACACTTATGGCAGTCTAGAAATTCTGTTTGAAGAGCAAAGCAAGCATCTAGATAGCTCAGTCGTGATACATTTCAAGATATATTTTTTTTTTATGTTTTCAGAGAAGTCTAAGCACAAAAGCTTTTGTATTTAGACCGCGTTATTCAATTTCAACCGCGCCTACAAAATCTAGACCACACAATTTTAAAACCAATTTTTTTTTATATATATATTTATTAAAGAAAAACTAAAACAGCCGAGTCGAGTCTTTTCAAACAGTAATTGGACGATTATTTTTCTGACCTAAATTATTTTATTTTTATAATAAAAAGTTCGGCTCATGTTTCTGAAACGAAATATAACTTTGCAGCCAAGCGCAATGGGTGTCATGTAGTCTCGCTCTTTGAGTATAATTTGCTTATTGTTTTGATTGCCAACGAATCTGTCAACGGGGGTGTAAAACATGGCAGCGCTCCGTCAATAATCGCATTAATAAATTTTATCTCTCGGACACCTGATAACGAAGGGAATTAAACACTAATTTTTCTCTTTGACCCCTGCTCGCGGGGAGGGAGGGTTAATTTGTTATTTGTTCAAACATTTCAAAGTATGTTTAATTCATTACACACGGCACCTGTCAATAGAGGCTATCAGCGACGCCATGTACTCCGTCCGTCAACTCGGAACATGACAGCCGTGGCAAGCTGGCAGACACATGCTGGAGTTTTGATATCCATTCCCCTGAGGTCACCGTATCAGCTCTCGCAATCTTCTCGACAGCCAAGAAAAGACGCTACTTGTGGAATGTCTCAAGGCCAACTAGCGAAAGGAATTTGAAAAGTGGAATAACTTAAAACACGCCACGCCATGCCAGTGACGAGGATACACCAGAAACTGTCCAAATGTACCCGAATTTGACAACATGTTTGCTTTCAATTTAAGGGTTATGATGATATAAAGTAGATCAAGACCTTTGGGGGCTAGATTAATAAAGGTGCAATCAAGAGATGGGGCTCGAGGGTGAACTTTTGTTTCTTTATAAAATTGTTTAAGAGGCATCGTTGAAGTACACTGACACCAAGTAGGGCAGTTCTCATCTTAGCGCGCATCTTTCCCGCGGCACTGAATTTCATTCGGCACACATAGATCCATCTGCTTCGTTCCTCGAGAGTCGAGAATAGATCTCTGCCCTAAATGACCGCCATACCCAAAAATTAGTATGCTGTTTTGTAATGCGTTTCTACTCCGTTTCACCTGGTGTTTTCGACTAAAATCGTCGATTTAGGACTTAAAATGTCCGTCAACTAGCTTAAACATACATTGTACAAGAGCTAAATCTGCCTATTGCAGGTCTTTCTTTAGGCCTGAAATGGTATCTAAATTATTAATTAACTTATACTGACCATAATCAATTCTGTTGCCATTGCTAACCTGTGATATTTAGCAGCTTGGAATACATTTTTTTAAAAATAATTAAACGTAGAAGTGGATAATCGAGACTTTGTTTTTATCGTACCGACTTCTGTAATGGTGATCGAGGCTAGCCCAAAATTGAAAATCTAAAATCTCGATTAGAGTGGGGCAATTTGACTGAAATTGTCAGCATATTCTATTTACGTTATCTATTTTTAACTATTATAGCTAGAACTGTCAATTCTTTATCTAATCTTCCATAATTTCAAAACTATTATCACCCTTCTGGAATTGATGATGTTAGCGAAATGTGTAGCGACAGCACGAGACGAGAAGTAGACCGGCATACGTTACAGCTCGTGATGCATTAAGACGTCACGTTACATTTAACTTCCCAAATAAAGTTTTTCAGCTGGTGATAAATCACTTGACTTGTCGCCGTTTTATTCCCAGGTCCTTCTACTAACTTTGATGTGAACTGTTTTCTTGTGTTTCAAAAGCTCTTATTAACAAGTGGTTTACACAACGAAGGAAATGAAATGGGGTTTAACGTCCCACTATTCTGCTCCTATGCTCGGCTAATGAAGACGTGCATACGCCATACAGTGTGCTAAGAGGGGAGGGGAATTTTTCCCGGGCAGCGGCACTATGGCCTGCTCTTATATCGAATTCCTACATCCAAAAAAAAATCTTTATCGTGCACGTCAATGTATACACGGGAACTCGGTTTTTCGTCCCATCCGGACGACTAGACAGCTGTCCTTGTCAGGTCCTCCGCACGTCGGAAAATCCGGAAAGGCAAGCCCCCCCCCCCCCAAACACCCACTTCCTCTCCTTGCACAATACATGGCGCAGAAACATAAACATACATAAGACGTTAAACTCTAGTTTAGTCATTCGGATGAGACGAAAAACCGAGGTCCCGTGTATACATTAGAATGCCCGTAAAAGATCCCTTGGCATTTGGAATTTGACATAAGAGTAGGCGATAGTGCCGCTGCCCGGGCAAAATTTCCCTCATAGCACACTTTATGGCGTATGTCCGTCTTCATTAGCCCAGTTTTGGAGCAGACCAGTAGGACTTTAAACTCCATTTCATTTCATTTCATTTCAGTTTGTGGGAGATTCCACGTCATTAAACCGCTGTACAATACAGATACAATGTGGTAAAAACCACCGCGTCCCGTGAGAACGACGGCATATAATTTAAATACGATAACCTCACAACCATCTAAATTGTTTATATTTAAAGCAATGATTTGGTTATTACAGTAAAACATCTATAATTACACCTGTGATGGGAAGAAATTCGATACATGGTGGTTTATAAATTTAAAAGATATGTTTGCCAGGCAACGAAAGATACGCCCACGGCAGCTAAATTATTCGGACGGTCGACAAGGGTTGTCGCATATTTATTATTTTGTAGGTAATTGGGGGCATTTACAAGACAAATTGATACAGATCAGATTATAATTTTCGTCTTTTGAGAGTTCACAAAATTCATCAAACTGAAACAAGGGCCTTTACACTGGAATAGTTAATAGTTAAAAACTAGATAATGTAAAGGCAATTTGCTGAAAATTTCAATCAAATTGATCCACTATGAACCGAGAATTTACAGATTGAATTTTCGGGATAATCTCTATCATCATTACTAAAGTCTGTACGATAAAAAGCATAGTCTCGATCATCCATTTCATGATTAAATTATGAATGGAAATCGAGCAGCAAATGGGATCATAATCCAGTAAATATCACAGGCTAGCAATGCTATCGAGAGTTGATTATGGTCTGGATAAGTTAATTAATGTCTAATTAATAATTTAGATAGCATTTCAGGCCTAAAGAAAGACCTGCAATAGGCAGATTTAGCTCTTGCATAATGTATGTTTAATTTATTCCTTGTGGATCGGGTGCGGTATATTAATCCCCTCCTTGTATATATGAAACACAATCTGTAGTAAATCATCCGCTATATGCAAATATATATTAGCTAAATAATGGAGAGGTCAAATTCAAAGGTCAAAACGTTTTGAGTATTTTTATAGATCACCGCCAAACAAAATGCTAAACAAATTACCATCTAAATTTGAATATAATTTGGGAAAGGCCGCTTTTTTTTGTTTTGTTTTTACAGAGGTACAATTATTCCTCGCCAGAGGGAGAAATGAAATGGGGCCTAACGTCCTACTGTTCTGCTCCGACTGGGCTAATGAAGACATGCTTACACCATACAGTGTGCTATGAGGGAAATTTTGTCCGGACAGCGGAATTCCATCTGCCAAGGGATCTTTAACGTGCACGCCAATGTGTACACGGGACCTCGGTTCTCGATCCATCCGAACGATTAGACTGTTTTTCTTGCCATGCCCATGGCCCTGTCGTTACCACGTAAAGACCTGGGGTAGAACCCATCACTTGCATATATGACATGTCATATCTACAACAAGCATGTTGGGCCTCCCAGCCACTCGACCTCCCTCGTTTTGATGTTTGCTTCATCACTTCCCAGTCTCAAGTATTTGATTCATTTCTCCGGAAAAACGTCTAAAATATCAATCCTAAATACAATTACACGAAAACACTCGTTCAAATTAAATCCGCCCTAAATTTTATGAGACTGTGAATATATTCGACCGATTTTAAAATCATGTATTATCTGTAAAAGATGTTATAATTCAATCGAAACCCGAATTCTAATTTTGGTTCATAAATCTCATAAAACATCCAAATAACGTCTGAGCTTAAGAGATAATAAATGCATCTAAAAATAACCTATTTTGCTTAGTCAATGTTTAAGATAGGAGAATAATACTTCGTTGTAATTTCACACAATGTTTATCTTTTCAAAATACAGATTAGACGATTCTGTGCCGGTAATATAATTTGCATATAAAATTATCTAAAATTCATAACTTTTATTTTGTAATGCAATGACGAACCATAAACACCGATGACGTCATTAGCCCAGTTTTTGTACTGTTGTGTGTTCTCGTGCCAATATAAATATGTATGAAGTTGATTGAGATAGCGACAAAACAAACTGACTTACAAATACAAAACAATGATAAATTATTTTAAAATTCATCTTCCAAATACACGAGTACAGAGTTGGGCGGAGTCAAAATTTTGGCTTAACCAGTTAACCAGTTAAAAACTAAAGTCAAAATTACAATAGAACAAAAACACATATGCAAATACGTCTACATATTAAAGATTCATTGTGTTAGATTTATATAAAGAGTTAGCCATTCTTGCTATAATAGTTCGAAAATAGATAATGTAACATGAATAATGTGAAAATTTTATTCAAATTACTCTATTGCGAACGAAGGTTTGACAAGACGTGTGCAATAATTTCAACCACCGCCCTGGTTGTTCGAAGCTAAGTCTCGCTTCTCCATTTTTAGCTTAAATCAAAATATGGCTGAACTGTTCTAATCTATTTAATATCGGAGAAATCCGATGCCATCGAGACTTGATTATGGCCTGGATAAGTTAATTAATGACTAATTAATAGTTTAGATAACATTTCAGGCCTAAAGAAAGATCTGCAATAGGCAGATTTAGCTCTTGTATAATGTATGTTTAACCGACAATGAGCTAGACTTCCTTGTTAAAACTTTAACTGGTTAAAAAAACGTTTAACTAGTTAATTTTTCTGTAACTAGTTAACCAGTTAACTCCGTCAAGCCCTGCAAGAGCAAATTGAACTCTCCCTCTATTGAACCCTTTCACCCATAGTAAACCAGCCGACCGATGTCTCGCTCCCCTGCTCGAGATGCCTTTAGGGGCAGCCCTAGTGAAGCCAACCCCAAACAAACAGAGAAACGACAGTCATAAATACTACCCTAACCCAGGATTGTTGCACTTCCCTGAAAATAATAATCCTACATGACAAACTATTCATTCAGTTGCTAGTATATATATCAATCTGATTGTAATACAGATCTATTTTTCGTTTCGTTATTTTATACTTTCGATGGCCTACACTACCACTCGGCAAATCTCGACAGATTCCGTTACCCTACATCTAATCTCGGCTGTATGACAGTAAGTGATATGTACCTACGCCCATACATTTGCGATGCGGCTGTCGGTTTACTTTAAACAGGAAAACGTGTCGCTTTTACAAAAAAGTCCCAAATTGCGTCTTTTGTAGAGTGTATATACCTAAATGAGCAGAGATATTGTCTCAAGGCTGCTGGTTTGATAAAATTCCCTGGTAATTCCCCAAACCCAATGCCAAACGTGACGTTTGTTGATATGATACACTCTCCACAGAAATCTCCATGGGGGCAGCCATTTTTCATTCGGAATCTTTAAAATAGTTCAAATATGTCGGAATGGTCATACAGCCGAGATTAGATACGTAGAATCTGTCGAGGTTTGCCGAATGCCTACACTACATGAGTGTAGTAAAGACAAGTAAAACGAAATTTTGAACTATAAAAACGAAACGAAATAGGATCTGTGTTTTAACCAGATTGATATAATATAATTAATGCCGTGTGTCGTACACGAGTCAGTGTATGCATACTCTTTGTAGAACACCTGGAACCATCTATAATCTTTATACACACCAGAATTAATTAGCTGTGCGACCTGTCCATGTGAAAAGTGCTATCGGAATTTTTTTTAGAGTAACCATATACTTTCTCGTGTACGATCCCCAGCACAAGAAGATCAAAGGCAATACTTACAGCAAAAAGATGACAAACGACGACAGCCAGACCGATAGTCAGAGGTGCGGAACCACGTAAATCTCTTCTTTTGGTATCATCAGAAGCAAAAACAGCCAACACTACGACAAACGTTACCAACAGCTCAACTCCAAAACCTTGAGGTGACGTCACACCCCTTCTCAACATGGCTGTAGCACCAAGATCCAGTCGCTGGGTGTCCGGGGTCAGACCGAACAGGATTCCAGCACCAAGAACGCCACCCAGACATTGGGCAATGATGTAGAGGACACCTCGAACGATGCTGACTCGTCTTGTGACCAGTTTCGCCAGGGTGACGGCCGGGTTCATGTGTCCACCGCTGATGTGTCTAAACACCCATACGACGGTTGCCACGGTTAAACCGAAGGTCAGGGACACTTGGATAACAGACGGGACAGCACCAGTGTAGGTTCCACATCCCAACAAGACGATGACCAGGGTCCCAAACGTCTCTGCAGCCAGAGAACGCCACAAATTGGGACTGAGCAAATCTTCAATATTCTCCTACAAAAGAAAACAAAATCAAAGTAAAAAATCAGAATTCCACTAAAACGACAATTTTTCTCGGCTAAATCTATTTGTTAAGGTCAGCTCAATTTTTGTCAAAGTCGCAGAGATGTAAATAAGGTTAGGGCACGTGATAGTTGGTGAGATTGGAGGTTAGGGTTAAGAATTTGGGTGAGATTGTAGGTAAGGATTTAGGGTTGGGATTAGCGTTAACCCTGTTTACATCTCGTGACCTTTGACCAAACTTGAAGTTGGCCTTATCAAATAGACCGAACCATGTTGCTTATACCTTTCAAACAAGTAGATGAACAAAAAGAAAACTGCTAAAATTTTACCTTCCAAAAGCGATTCATTCTTGTTTCCAACACTACACAACAATATTTCCTATCGAAACCGTGATCTATTCCAATAGACTGTTTCCCTTGCGTGAAGTCCGATTAAAATGAAATGAAATGAGGTATAACGTCCTACTGTTCTGCAACGAAATGGGCTAATGAAGACGGAAGTCCGATTAAGGCGCGTGAATGGTCGTTTACATAATAATTTCTCAGGGTAAAACTAATTCAGACCAATCATAGTTAAACACAATATCTAACAATGTTTTAAAGGGACTATCCCGAATTAAAGAGAGTCCCATAAATAAAAGTCAGAGTACGTATGAAATTTAAGCGCCAAAATATAGTGTATTTACTTTGTCTCAAAATTTCAGCTCAAAATATTGAGTCGTTTGGATGTGAACGTCAAATCTGCTTATCCGGACACGTAACCTTTTTAAAATTTCGGGTCAAGTTTTTCGTTGGGTGACCTGATAATCGATTCCCGTTCCTTTAGAGGTCTATACAGTGAATGACCCACGTGCTGTACTTGATAACGAAAGGTAAATTGCACCTACACATTATTTTCATAAAATAAAAGTCTGGTTTTATCCAGACACCGCATAATACAGCTTGAGACACGGATATCCATTTCCAGATGAAGACTGGTGGGTTTAAGTTATTTGACAACGTATCACATATATTGAGTCAGTTGCCCGACCCTAAGGTAAAGGATTTTAAGGGGTTTTAACACAAAGTTAAGCAGTTTTATTCTCCAAAATATTATCGGGATGGGCCCTTTAAACATTTCACTTTCTTAATATCTAGTGGAAATCAAGACTCGAGGTTGGGCCATTTAAAAATCCGGGACTTTAAACCAAAAATATACCACAACACTTGAGAGGTGAAAATGACACCAATGAAAAACTATGCAATGGTTCAAGTGGCACAGAAAATATTCCGTAACAACGTCAAATGGATAATTTTTTCAGGAAGTGGATTTGAATGGCGGAAGTTAACTTTTAATTGATGTATCCTATTTTTACATGAGTAATAAATCGTAATTATTATTTTTGAACAGAATAGAAAGTGTAATTTCGTTTTTTAGTTAAATAAAAATAAGGATTTGTTTTAGTTCCTTGTGCAATGCCCGCGTAGTCGAGCGATCAGGGTTCAAACCCTGGTGTGGGTCAAACAAGAACAATCTGAATTTTCCAAGCCGATCTTTCAGATGTGGCCTCTGTAGCGCTTACGAGGCAGGTGTGCCGATTCGTTCGTCGTTCGGATGAGATAAAAAAAAAGCTCAATGAACAATTACTCTGAATGGCATGACACACGTTACCATAGTAGAAACAAAAACAAATGCTGAAAGTGTGCATAGTCCTTCAGATGGTATGGAAAAAGAAACTCCATGACAAATTACAATACCTCGCACACGTTACCACAGCTGACAAGGAAAGTATGTCTAATCGTTTCGGTTGGTGTAGAAAACGAGCCCCAGGATAAATTCCCCAACCTCGCATTAGGCACGTTACAACAGAAACAAAAAAACTAGTAACATATTGGTTGCCACAAAATTACCGAAATATTGCGTTAAAAAGACAATTCCTAAGATGTTATTAAAATGAACGGGACATTTATGAAGAATATACCCCAAAAAAAAGCCCAAACGAACACCCCATAATGTGCTGGAAACTTCTGTTTATACGTAAAACGCATTCTTCAACATAAAGCATAAAAATAATTAAACGAGATTACCCCCATTTTACAAATTCAGAATGGTCTTTAAAAGAAAAGAGTCGTGTTATTTTTCGATTTTAGACAAATTAAAGGAATAATATTTATAGAATATGCGGCCAGATATTTATGTCTGTTGCCAATGCCGTACAACCAAGTCTACTACTACACATAGTAAAAAGTTTTCCCACGGTATGTAAAACCAATAACTACTTCATTACCATCACTAAATTCTCATTAAAATTGTCAAATTGAGTTTCAAATATTTCAAAGACTTCATTATCTTTTCCATTAACATTTGCGGGTGATGTTATATAAAAAGTTTCAGAATTTTTTTTTTTTTAAAAACAGAAAACCAATTCTTACTAACCTTCATGATTGCGTTCGTCATGCCTTCGTAGAGTGAGCCACGCCGTCTTAATACGCTGGGTTGTAGAGGGGTGACGATTTTAAACTTGCTTCCTTGTTCTCATTGGCTGAGAGGAACGGCACTTGTTCTGAGAGCACGCTATCGTAGTAAGCCGTTCAACTTTGACCTATGACATCCCAGAGAGTATTCCATGTTTGTATAAACAATGGAATAATTAATGGCTTTAACAATGGCCGAATTCTTGTCATATTTTCCTCTGGCTGAAATTGTCCTTTCCGCCAGCATGTAATCCGAGCTATGATTTAAATAATCTAGTTGCCTTCTGACCTTCTGGTTGACGGAGCCATTTAATGGTGGTTGAATTTTAGTACGGATGTTGGGTATAATCTGATCAATCAAATTACTTCTACGATCTGTTTTAGCTACGACTTTTATCTTTCATGGAACATACCATACCAGGAACTAAACAGAGAGAGAGAGAGAGAGAGAAAGAGAGAGAGATGGGGTTTAACGTCCTCTCGACACAAACTAGGTTCAATTCTATTTCATTAATTCGCTCGCGCCGCTTAGGGGTCTTTAGCAGTGGGAGGACCCGGAGAAAACCCACGAGATTGGACAGGTGACTCTACCGGGGAATCGAAACCTTATGATTCAACCCACACGCGCTAACCGTTCGCCACCGCCTCCCGTATTAAACAGAGTTTGTTAATTGATTCAAAACAACAAAAAAAATAAGTTTTTTCCCCAAATTCTCCAAATAACAAATCAAGACTCTAATAGTAAGTGCAGGGGGACTGCACCACACAAAATTTACACAAAAACAAATACACGGACAAGACATCATACTGTACCAATTTTAAATCTCATCTCATTTAAAAAAATCGGGATATGCCAGGATGTAAAGGGTGCAATTCCTTTCTAACATCATCTGATAAACGTACAAAAGTCTCAGGAATTCAAGAAGTTTTACCAAGGATCTGCCACAGTTTTATAAAATAGAGTTTTCTCATCTAGACCCAGACAAGGGCCCGTAAGAGGGGGTGGGGCAGTTGGAACCCGGAGTCTAGAGGGGCCCGGGGGTATGCCGGGTACGTCGAGTAATGTTTGTTTTGTTTTGTTTTTTTTAAATGTAGGGATAAATTAATAAAGAAAACCCAAATAGAGTACAGCAGAAGAAAACCGATGACTTTTCTGAATGTGGTAGGCTCTTTCTAGAAACAGAATCCGCCTTTCGTATTTTCGGATTTATTTTGGCCCCATTCGTAAATATGAAATTATGACAACTGGTGGTGAATATCTTCGAATGAATGAAAATTCCTAAACACTGAATTTATTGTTTAATGGCGGGAGTTCGAGCGTTCAGACATGAAAACTTGTATATTAATTAGTGGTATTACTACTTTATTGTCGTCATAAACCATTATGACACTGTGCCGACATCATCGATCTGAACTGTATTATAAAACTGTAAACCATAAACAAAGGAATGAAATGGGGTTTAACGTCCTACTTTTCTGCCCCGACTGAGCTAATGAAGGGATATTTTACGTGCACGCCAATGTATACACGGGAACTCGGCGTTTCGTCTCATCCGAACGACTAGATAACTGACCTTGTCAGGTCCTCCGTTTTGAACCACTGACAAGGGAAAACCACGTCGGGAATGGGGTTTAACGTCTGATTGTCTGATGGTTTCGATCCCCCGGTTGTGCGTGACAAGGAGTAGGGTCGCGTGTCCATCCTCGTGGGTTTTCTCCGGGTCCTCCGGTCTCCTCCCCACTGCTAAAGACCCCTACGCGCAAGCGAATTATTGAAATAGAATTAAACCATATGTTAGTCCCAAAATGACCTAGTTTGTGTCGAGTGGACGTTAAACCCCCCCCCTCTCTCTCTCTCTCTCTCGTTTGTTGGTCCCATGTGAACGACTAGACATCATTTTCTGTCAGGCCCAGCTTCCTGGACCTGTGACAAGGGAAACAAACCCACGTTCGCAAATCCCAACGAATTTTTAGGTCGATACTAGGATCGATCCTGTGCCGTCCTAGCGTGACCTAGCGCCCCCTTCACTGAGCCACCAACATTATCTGTATTATTAGTGTGGTATAAAAATTAAATACCATCATTAAATTGGGGAATTTATCAGCAGCTAGAGTCATTTGACATTTAAATTCCAGTTTTTAATACTCATAAATACATTGTTGTTTGTGACCTACAACAGATTTTACAATCTAACTTTCCATTTTAATTAAAGCGGTATTAATCCCATATGTGCACGTGAAGACAGGGATAGAGAATGAAATGAAATGGGTTCAGCGGGGGTAATCCACTTCTCGTCCCGAATGACCCAGCTTCCTTTTTAATCCATAACAATTAAATGAAAAACTCGATGAACACAAAAAAAGAGCACCAGATATGATCATTTTACATTTTTCGGTGATTCTGTTCCTCCCGAATGCCCCCCCCCCCTCCTGCTAGGCGCAGGACCCCAGATAATTGTAACCCCCTGCCCCCTCTTTCCCTTTCCCCTCCCTTCAAACAGAAAAACACCCTCTATCCCTCCGCTGTAATATCATCAGTATTACCCAAAACTGCTATGAAATTGCAAATTTGATCCCTTTTCTCCAATTCTAGACCAAAAAGTCAACCAAAAAATGCAGGAAGAGAGGAGAAAAAAATTAAGGGAAAAATTATTTATTTATAACTCACACTACATATATTAGTCTTAGACCATATGGGTCTTATTAAACATATACAATCATATTATTGTCTCCATGTATCATCACATGTTGCTTTTCATCGCCGTTGATTGGACGAACAGATTGTCTTACTCCAAGATTACATTATACTACAGTGTCATAAAAATGTCGTGATCGCGGAATGTATGGATAAAAAAGGGCACAAAAACATGTTGTCCAACTATCTAATAATTAAGCGAGAATTCATTTTCTGGTGAGGAGGTTATGTTACTTATGTTAGCGGTGTGAGAAAGATGAATTGAAATATTTCTGGTTGCTTAAAAATTGTAGTCAAATTCAAATTTGAATTATCACTTTATCTTTTGCTTGCAAACCCA